GAGTCCGTGGGTTGTTTCAGACCCTCACTCACAAACCTTGGTATTTCCGACGACGGTGCTACCTCCGTCCGGCTTTCGCTTCCCACATCATGCAAACCAATTTCGTTGACAAATCAATATACCTACAGCGGCAGCAATTTCTTGTCAAGATTAAATTGGGGATGGGGGAAATTGCGCGGCTAATACATGTAATTGTAAAGCCACATGTGCATACAGTATTACAAAAATATTTACGTGTACATGTATTTTGTTATCAACCAGGAAGTATATCAATCAGGCACATACAAGGGAAGGTTAGTTTCCACTTTCCTGGCAACCAACTTTAATATCTTCCAAATAATATTATGGATAAACTAACAAAAACTCGGCAAAACTATTTAAAAAATGGGTTGAACATTAATGTGGATGTGGAATCCGAACAATTTGCATGAATTTTCTCATCAATCTGTTGGTCTTACATCCTGTTTTATTCACTTCATTGTTTATTTTCCATGCTTTGTATTTGGGATAGCAATATATCACAGGTTAATAAACCTTTGCAAATTCATTTATTTCATCTTTACAGGAAACAGCACAACAAATCCCCCACATAATCATCATGGACGACGTCTGCGAGAATCCTCTTGCAAGGTAGGCAGACGATCCAGAGCTCACCACTGCTCATGTGCAAAATCGCAAACTAAAATGCACACACAAAGTTTTGCAATGAGACAGACACACAAAAACCAAAAGTAGCAGTCAAAATTTAGATAGGCCACACTTTTGTCGATCTGTCTTACCACAGAAAGAAAAGAAAACAATCGTGAAACATTAATGTCAAGCTGATCCAAGTACCCACTGCTACACACCGCAAATGAATAGGATGTTCTCACCTTTAAGAGCATGTATTTCAGGAATGGGATCGAGCCTCTTTGTGATGGCTGGTGGTATTCACAGATTATGGGCAAAGTCAATTGATGCTTTCAACAGGCAAGTGAAATAGTTCTAACCTGAATTTTGTTTCTTTTATAAAACTAGTCACACCGTAATGTACTAGCCTAGGCGTGTGCGTGATTTGTTTCTCTTCACCTTACAGGAATGATTTGGGAAAAGGTCCGTTGGAAGAAAGACCTCTATATCATTTCGCTTGGAATCTGAAAATTGGGGTTGAGATCGATTGCGATAAGGTAATACGCAAGATAGACGATGACTTGGACAAGACACCACACTTACTGGGGATCGAAGGTCTTCTCTTCAGGGCGTACTTGGAAGTATGTGACGACCCAAAACGCTGGAACGTTCGTAAAGCCAGAGAGTTCCTGGACAAAGCAGACGAGAGGATAGAACAGACAGATGAGCGTCTGCGTAAAGGCTACAAAGTTGTGTCACTGCTGAATCGCATGTGGATCGAGAACAAATGCCTTAAAACCCAAAAGGTCAAAGAGCTACGCGCTGAATTACGTGGTTACACACTGGAGAACGAAGATTTTCTAGTGATCGGAGCAGTGCACGCGGCTGCTTTGAAACGACTCGGACCCAATGTGTATGCGTCTTCTCTGGAAATGTTTGAGAAAGCGCTGGAGAAGTTCCCCGAAAATGTCAACTTCCTCCACGGGGCTGCGCTAATGGCGGGCAGAATGGCAAGATATAGAAGAGTCACCACCCCTGAGTACGAAAAGATGGACCCTATGGGTAAGGATCTCTTGGACAAGGAAAAGGATTACTTGCAAAAGATGATGGAGATAAAGGATGAATATCAGCTTGCAAGGTCAGCTCTTGGATTGAACTTAATTGGACGAGGGGAAGAACAAAAAATAGAAGGACTAAGTCATTTGACGAGGGCATACGAAGAAGCCCATGAAGTGCAAAAGGTAGTACTGAATTTAGTCAGATATTACAGACGTGAGGGAAAGGTTTCAGAAGCCATAGACATATTAAAAGATAGAATTCAAAACAATCCAAACTGCTACGAGAGTCATTACCAGTTGGCACTGTGCTA